AAGTCCAAGAAGCAAGCAGTGGTGGCACTATCTACTACTGAAGTAGAGTATATAGAAACATCACCGCCTACAGTAGAAATAATTGTAATTTGGTTACGCCTTCTGGCGCTAATCCTATACAATAAGCCTTCCAATCCACAGCTCTTTTCTAGAGAAAATCAAGGAGTGTTGAAGAAGATCAACAATGCTCGCCAGCACGAATGAACATAATAGCTATAGATACGATAGTTGGCAGGTCGCCAGCTCTTCCAGAGAGGAGGCGAGAGCTGAGAACTAAAGGAGGCTTCGAGGGCGTACTGAGGAACAAAGAAGTAACCATTCAACCAAGTATATTGAAATACTGTCTGTCGAAGTCTGCCTTTTCTATGGTAGAAACAGGCGGTCTTTAAATACACAAATCTGTTCATGTCTAGCATGAACAAAACTAATCAAGGGTATCAATTGATACTCTTTGGCAAAACTCTTTAAGTATCAAAGCAATACTTAAAACAAAACATAAAACAAAACCAAGTATCAAACAATACTTAAAACAAACCAAGTATCAAAACGATACTTAAAACAAAACATAAAACAAAACCAAGTATCAAACGATACTTAAAACAAACCAAGTATCAAAACAATACTTAAAACAAAACATAAAACAAAACCAAGTATCAAACGATACTTAAAACAAACCAAGTATCAAAACGATACTTAAAACAAAACATAAAACAAAACCAATAACCAAGTACCCGTACCGGTTACATTCCCCAAAACAAAACAACTGTTTAAACAAACAAAACCTAATAATCATCAAAGGCGGATTCCGAGAAACTCATGGCTTCAGTTTCTGCCAAAAGCTCTTCATCATAGGTATCACACCAAGGACAAGAGGAAACTCTAAGGAAACACTTAGACTCGAAGAAATCCAAATCACAGTAGTCACGAATACCAGATTCGTGCTGTACGTCAATCCAAGCATGATCACAATCAGGACAGTAGTCAATCCAGAGGATTTCGAAGTAGTCTTCAAGTTGGATAGCATCGCGGTTCAACAACAGTCCAACAACCTGTTGTCGCTGCCTCACATTGAGCTCCACATAGTTTGACATCGTTATCGTATTCGGATGGTGATTGGTGACTAGATAAAGTTGTCGAGAGCCTGCTCCATAGCTTGATTCTCCTCATCGCTACTTTCGAACTCTGACTCAAAGTGTGGTGCCCAAAATCCATCTCTAGTTTCGAGTTCTGCGTGCCATCGCTCAGTTTCTGGCATTGTAGGTGTCCAGTACATGCTGATATAATTGATTGTTGGGGGGAGGGATTCATTTGGCATGTTGTCTTTCCACCATCCGTTCACCATATCCATAGCATGCTCAAGTCCTTCCAGTGGTTCCCAACTGTTTTCGCTCGTCGGATATCCTTTCCATTTGACTAGGAATTGATCATTTCCATGCCAAAGGCGATGGTCTCTGATTTCTTCAACTTCCCATTCATCCTTCTTCTCGATAATGATAGGTGCAGGCCGAGAGTGGGTCCTTCCAGGAAACTTGGAGTCGTCATTGGGATGGAATCGTTTGACAGCTGAGGCGTGGAAGACTGCAGTATTGCGGCGGTACATGCGTCCATCCATCTGGACAGTGTAATTCTCTGTATGCTCGTTAAAGGATATGACTTTGAAGGGTCCTCGCCATCTGGGTTGTAGTTTCTTGCTGCGTCCGACATTGGTAATAAACATGTTACCGCGTACCATGAGCATGTCTCCTGGTGAGATGGGAACATGTTTGCGCCATCGTTTCTGGGCAGTAGTGGTGCTTCGGAATCGGGCAGCCTTAACAGCTTGGAAGGCATCCTTCCGAATTGCTTGGTGGCGGTTTAGATGGTCATCGGAGGCAGGGACTGAGGAGTTCTTGAATAGAGTCGTAGGTAGGAGAGGGTATTGGCGGCCAAAGACTGCCT